CTCATCCACAGCATCTTCATCCTATGAAAGTTTGTGTGCAACATTGGCAGCCCAGCCAGCAGCTTTTGTTACCCCTTTGTAAGCAGACTCTCGTTTACCTGCCTGTAGACAAGTCTCTGTTGTACTGTTGGAACTGCCTTCACTCTCCAGATCAGACTGATACGACCTGCAGCTCAAGCAGTTTTTAAGTAAATTTTTAAAGACAGACATATATCTGCATACCGACTATATGATTTAGGTAACGGTTCATATTGAAATCTAGTCATCCTCTGTGGCTGGGTGAAATTGAGGCAGGAAATTAAAGGGTAAATTGCATCTTACACCACAGTTGGCCTTGTTTTGGACATCTTGCTCGTCTGTGTAAAGCATCTCCAGAGCATAGTCTTGGACAACCTAAAGGCACCAGTCCCTGGTGTCATCTCCTAGTGAATATCCCGCTTTTTGTGACTGTGGATTTTTTTTGGCTGAAAAGATGTCCTCCCTTTCTTCCTCTGCCGCTCGCAAGATAGAATAAAGTACTGCCCAGGATCGAATTCTCATGTGAGCTGTACAACTGTTTCAGTAGATCAAAGACACGGTGTAGACTGTCAGTAGTGAACGGTGCCGCTGTCAGCGGGCAGGAAGTGCCCTGAGCAGTTACTCGGTCAACTTTTTTATCATGCAGCAAAATTCTAACCCTCCTTTTATTTTACCTCGCTGCTGCCAAGCTGTTCCCCTTCCAAATTACCTGTCTGTAGAGGGTGTTGACACACTGGCCGTGCAGTGCCCTGTCAGCGACGCAGAAAGGGACTGAAGGCTCGTCGTGCTCCACCTGTGTAACGGTTACCAGGGGGTTATCACAGTGGTTTGTAACCACAATCTGGGTCTCAATGGTGTGAATGGTACAGTCTGAACCACGCTGGAGGGCCGTTTTCGGTTCCACAACTACAATTGGTAGTGATACAGCTGATAGCAGCTGGCATGTCCTGGGATGTAGGACAGAGGTGCCAGTCCAGAAGGCCAAGCAGGAGTCAATGGCAGGATGATGATGTTGTGTGAAAGGCAGAAATGTCTGGATCTTTAAGGGAAGTAGCTTTCATGTAGTTACCATCAATGTGTGCACTCATGCTGTGTAGAGGTACACTTCAGAACCTGATGCTTACACCAGAGCCCCCAAAGAACCTGTTTTAGAAAAGCTGAAACAGTAGCTGTGGCCTCTTCTTACCTTCATCTTTGTTCCTCAAGTGACAGGAGGTGTGGAGGTCACAAGACACATGCTTTGACTGAAACATGGAGTGTGCTGGTGAAATCTGGAAGAGGCTGCACAAGAGTCCGTGTGTACAGCAGGAGATATTTTATTCACCTTTCAGATGTGCTCAGCTGTGTGTGCTGCAGTAAAAAACTTTCATTTTCCCACTTAGCACGCTGCTAGGTAAGACCTGACATTTCCAGTTGTCCTCATCGTTCTCTAGAAGAACGGTGGAGGTGGTTTGGGGACACTTTAAAGTGTGGACCAGCTGATTCTGATGATGCTGCATGTACAGAATAGCAGATACAAAATACTGTGAGCTTTTGCTGCGACCGAAGCTTTTTACAAATGTACCCTCATCCCATTCTGGGGATGGGGTAGTTAACTGTTAGTGGTTTGGTTTTAGCCTTGCTGTGCTAGTGAGTCTCTCACAAACACTCCAGGTTTTGTAGCGAAGTACTGCGAGCACAGGGCAGGCAGCAGCAGAGCCTGAGTGACGAGGGGCTCGGTGGACAGTTGGTACATGGCAGGATTGCTGTTGTGGTTGGGTAGAACAGAACTTCAGCCTGAAATTCTTCTCTTGCCCCTTTTTCCCTGGTACTAACGGAGCTTGACAGGCTCTCTGTCAGCACGAAGTGGAGCAGAAGAGGAACAGTTAAGTCGGGTCTCTTGAGGTAGCACAGGTGTGTAAAACCACAAATGTTAGTCTGGCAATTAGAAGTGTTGTTGTTTCACTCGAGTGAGCACTGAAATGACTGCTATAAAGAGGGGTGTGTTCACACAGCTCCCGGCAAGGGAAGTGGGATCTAGGTGCAGCCTCGCTTGCTGGCACAAGTCCTGCTTCTCCAAAATGTCTATCAGGCATAATTAAATTGCCATTGGAGGGCTTTTTTTTAAACTGTTGTGACTTTCTGAGAAGGCATTTTGTAACCTGATTAGCTTGAAAAGCCTAATTAGATGGTTTATTGTCTAGAAATAGCATCTTCCACTAAATTCAAAAAGACATTGCAGTGAAAATTGTAGGTTTGTAGCCATAGTTCTGAATGTAAACCCTGTTCAGCTCTGAAGGTGACTTTGTTTAGTTTCAGATACGAGGCTTTCTGGTTTTTTTTTGCTTTTTAATGTGGAGAAGGTTAAAGTGAGGGTGCCTGGAGCGCTGCAGTAGGAGCCTGTGCTCTGCAGTGGTGTTTCTGTGCCTGTGGTTGGTGATGTTCCTGCCTGTGTCAACAGGCTGACCTGGGAGTTTGGCTTCGATGGGAGTGCACAGGGAGGTGTTAAAGCTCTGTGGAGGGGAGGTCCTTGGAAACAAAGGTAGGATACTAAATAAACCCTTTGTCACTGTAAAGACTCAAACCCACCTTTTAAAAGGTGGGCACTGTCAAAGGGTCCTGGCCATTTTGTCATGTGAACATGTTATCTTTTCATGTTTTAAAATGGGGTCTCCTGCTGCTGCTAATGACTAAATTTGCTTTTTTTCTTGACTAAAAATCTACCACTCCCAGTCTTGAAACATTCTCCTCCTTTTCATGCATACCTAAAAACCCAGAGGTTTTTGCAAGCCCAGAAACCCACAGGAGTGCTCTTCCAAAAATAGCCTGGTTGTGCTGTTGCCAACCCCTCATCCTGCCTGCAGGTAACCATTTTCCATTGCAGGGATAGAATCATAGGATCACCCACAGAATGGGTGGGGTTGGAAGGGACTTAAAGCTCACCTCGTTCCAACCCTCTGCCACAGACAGGAACATGTTCCACACCACACCAGGTTACTCAGAGCCACCTCCAGCCCACAAGCTCTCTGGGCAATCTGTGCCAGTGCCTCACCACCCTTATAAGGGGAGGCGTGAGAAATGGTTGTAAAGAAACGCTGCTGTTGCCTTGAACTTGAGAAAGCCTTTGTAACTTCTCTGGTGTGACAGAGAACGTTAGGGATATCTGCAGCCAGCCAAAAGAAGTGTGTTTAGTTTAGGAAAACCTGGGGGGGGGTCTCCATTTGCTCCTGCTGCTGCGAGGGTTAACAAGCTGCGTGTCCTAAATGATGGCAAAGGCACAGGTCGGGAGCCGTGCGTGATGTGCACCTCGTTACTTCACTCCTGCTAGCCCTTTTAACTGTTTGTTCTTAGTAATAAGCTTATTTATTGTTTACCTAGTCCTCAACTAATCAGGTCCTTTGGCGAGTTTCAACTTGGGATTCTCCTGCCTCGCTTTTGTCATCAGGCTGCTGGAGTAACTCATCATCTGGGTAGGAACAAAACTCTGTGGCACTTTGAAGTGCTGTCCAGCAGGTTGGGATGAGTATCTGGATGTCTCTGTTGTCACTGTAAAGGGCTGGAAAGGCCCTAGCGAAGGTCAAATAATTCTGTAGCAAAAATGTTAGCGTTTCCTCCACAATCTGATGCTTAAATCCGTGGGGTATGATCAGTCTTGCTCTGAAAGAATCTGCAGTAAGCACGTTGTATGGGAAAATAATGGAGAGGCGAATGTCTCAAGTAGAGAAACTTAACTGCAGGTAGGTACAGAGGGAAGAAATGTTGACAAGCCAGGGGGATCACTCGAATCCAATAACGTTGTAGAGGAATTGTGTTCAGTTTGGACGGCAGCTTCTGTCAGAACACAAGCTTTTTTTTTATTTAGTCAAAGAAAGAAAGGTGACGGTAGGGTTGTTTGTTTTTACTTTATCAGTCTTGTTTGGGGGGGGAAAAAGAAGGTAGTTTCGAGGGGCAGATTTCCTCCCTCCACAGCTCCCGAATTGGATGATTCGACAGCGGTGTTGGGATTGCAGGGTCCAGCAATTCACCCTTCCAGGGTGAATTGCTGGACCCTGCAATCCCAACACCGCTGTCCCCCTGTATTTGACCGAGTTAGAGGTGCTGGCGTAGCTCTCGCTTGGGAATTTCTGATGGAGGAGAAGAGGGAAGGTGTGACCCAGCGGATTCCTAATTGTACAGCAGGCGCTGTTTGAACTTAGCCTCCTTTTTTTTTATTATTATTATGATGATGATGATTTTTAAATGTGACATTAACGAGAGTTGTGTTTTTTTTTTTTTTTTTTTTTTTGTAAATGGTTTCCCCCTTTTTTCTGTGTATAAATCCTGGCCCGCTCCTCGTTTTGGTCGTTCTTTTCGGTTTGATTTTGTTTCGTTTGGGGTTGGTATTTTTTTGTCGGCTTGTTTTGTTTTGTTTTGTTTTGTTTTTTTTACATGTCCACGCTGTGTAATTTCGAGCTGTTACCGAGACTTTGAACATAATAATGCGCATCATTTTTTTTGTTTTTTTTGGTTGGTTTATTTGTTTTCTGTACAGACGAAATGGGAGAATTTAATAAAAAGAGTCTGCAGGTTTGTACTTGTGGTGGTTCATTTCTGAGGGGACTTCCGGGGGTGGAGGGGCGGGGCCTGGCGCGGCCACGCCCTCCGTGTGGGCGGGGCAGGGGCGGGTGACGCACGCGCAGGGGCGGCTGTCGCGCGCGGCGGCCGCGGCCGTAAAGCGCGGAAGGTCAGCCCGGCCTCCCCCCCCCCCGGCCCAGGTGAGGCGACCCCCGCCGATCCCCGGCCCGGCCCCACCGATCCCCAGCCCGGCCCCGCTCCCCCGCCCTGCCCCGGGCTCTCCACCTCCCCCTCCCGCCCGCCCCGCAGCGCGGGGTCGGGGGCGAGCAGCCCCGCGGCTCCCTTGTCACCCCGCCGCCCCCCTGTCACCCCGCCGCCCTCACACCCCTCCCCTCAGGCTGCTGCGGGCGAGGGTCCCCCCCTCCCCCTCCACCACCTTCCCCCCGGTGCCTGGGGGGCGGCTTGTGGCAAAGCTGTTCCCGGAGAGGCCTCCGCGGTGCCCCGTGCCGGTGGCTCTGGTCACAGACTTCGTTTCTTTCCGCAGGTAAAGGCCTGGCAGCGTTAATAATCAGCCTTGTTTCCGCCCCGTTAACCTCGGCCTTCCTGAAGCGTTCCAGAGCATGGGCTGTGCCTGCTGGCTGCGTTGGCTCCGCCTGTCAGTGGTGTGAGCGCCTTTCCAGCTTCCCTCTGGTTCCCTGCTCGTTGTCAGGTTGCCCCGTGTCAAAACCAAAGGTGCAGCGCTCTGTTCCCGTTTGATGCTCTGGGTTTGAGCCTCACCAGCGAGGCTGCTGGTCCAGGGCTGTGAGGAACTGCTCTCCTGTCTGCCTTCCCATCCCCTTTCCCATATCCATCCACGGGACGTTTCCCACTGCCAGCCTTGTGCGTAACAAGATCAGTGCTAACGTGATTCTCACCTTCTCCTTCCTAGCAGGAGCGGTGCCGGGGTGACATCTGAGCACACCCAGGCGGTGCTTTGAGGAAGCTGCCGGGATGTTTCTCCGCCTGCTGTCCGATGTCCAGTGGCGGGCAGCCAGCCCCAGATGGAGGAGGATGACCAGCTCCCAGAGAAGCAGCTCCACCACGGCAGAGCCTCACCCGGTTTCCCTGCCGGCACAGGCGCAGGTGGTCATCTGTGGGGGTGGAATCACCGGCACTTCCGTGGCGTATCACCTTGCCAAGATGGGTTGGAAGGATATAGTCTTGCTTGAGCAGGGCAGGTAAGGATTTCTGCTGACAAAAGCAGAGGAACAGGGCATCCGTGTGGCTCAGGTTGTTTCCACCTCTTCACCTGCACTGAGGTGAGGAGCTGGAAACAGCCTTTCACCTGGATGAAATAAGGACATACTGAGCATTAATAATGGCACTTGCTGCTTGGACTGTGAAGGGTATCCCTTGTGTGGTTGTGCTGGGGTAGCCATGCCATTTCCCTCAGCAGGGCAGGGAAAAAGCAAGCTGAGAAAGCTTGTGGATCAGGATAAAGACATGGAGATTGTACTGCCATGGGCAAAAACGGCTTGCCCTAGGGAGAATGAATTGAAAATAAGGAATTCCTTTATTTCATGCCAGTTAAAGTAGATTCAGGTAGTAGGAAACAGAAACCAAACATTAAAACACCACCTCTTCTTTCCCGCGCTCATCTTTCACTCCTGCACTCCAGGGCCTCTCACCTCCCCACAGTGCCCCAAGAAACACGGGGTGACCAGTGGGGTGGGATCAGCGCTGGGCTCCAGCGTGGGGCCTCCACAGGCTGCAGTTTCCAGCAGGAGACCTCTGCCCTGGGGAGGGTTTTCCACGGATCACAGTTCTGCTGTTACAGTTTGGCTGAACACAAGTGCCCTCCGTGAGTTGGATGTGTCTGTGGCAGAGCACACAGTTCCTGCTGAAAGCTGAGCAGCCCTCACCTGTTGTTCAGACTGGTGTTTCTGAGGTAGATTCGTGTTTGTTTTCATTAATCTCACTTAATTTGGGGACCTTGGCTATGAGACGCTGCTGAGAATTTAGGGTTTGAAGAAGCATTTATTGCAGCAGCTTCCAACACCCTGAGTAGGTGTCTAGACTAGAGCTTCCCTTCTGATGCTGCCTTCGGGAATAATGAGCTGTGGTTCCTGGAGTTTGTGTGGCTGGGGAGCAGGTTCTTTATAGCTGCAAAGAGAAGAAATTGGATAGTCTTCTCTGAGACTCTGTGAGCCGTGTCCTTCTGAGTGAAATGAGGTGCTGGGCTTTGTTTGTAAGGGATTGTTGTCTTTGGTAGCTTGGAGCAGGGTGTGAGGGATCTGCAATGAGTTGGATGCCATGCATGCTCAAGGAGGAAGAGGAGGGAATGCAGACACACCAGGCTGAAAGCAGTCGTGTCAAGTGGGAAAACGCACGGTGGCTTTTGCAGCGGGGAAGATGATTTCCAAGTGTTGTGGGAGCAGGTTTAGGAGGGATATGCTTAAATCTGACGGTCTTGTCTTCCCCTGTCCGTGCTGTAAGGGGGTTCTGTGCCCACAGCAGCCCTTCAGCAAACAGCTCAGGGGTTTAAGGGCAGTTTTAAAAGGGACAGGGAGCGTGTGCCTGTCCGTGGCAGGTGCTGCAGAACGTGAGAGGGACTTGCTCTGACTGCAATCTGCAAAGACACAAGACTCAAATCCAAGTTAATTCTGATCTGAGGAAAGTCCTGCTTCAGAGCAGGAAAGTAAGGCAGGTTGATGTAAGCATAAGGTAACTTCTTTAAAAAACATGTTTCCTTTGAACAATGTCAGTGTTTAGGGCTAGTTAAAGAGAAATTGTTATGGAATGCCAGGAGTTTTCACAAGTGAGCTGAAGGAAAGTCATTCTAGAGATTGCATTATCCCTGTATCATCCAGCTTGGTGTTGCTCTGATGTGTCTGGGGGAGAGTTTGCTGCCTGGCTTGTGCTGCCAGCGAAGCTGGTGTGGGGTGTGTACCTGGCAGGCTGATGAGGCCCTTCTTTGCACCTTCTCCTGCAGGTTGGCTGCTGGTACCACTCGCTTCTGTGCAGGCATTGTGAGCACAGCCAGGCCTGTGTCCATAGAGCTGAAGATGGCACACTATTCAAACAAGCTCTACCAGCAGCTGGAACAGGAGACAGGAGTGCCAACAGGTACTGAGGGTGTCGTCACTGAGTCAGAGCACTGACACTGGAGCACCAGGGGGGGTTTATGTGTCAGGGTTTGGGAGTTCCCGTTCAAAACCAGTGCACTGGGACTGAAGCAGATGGAAAGGATGTCGCTAATGTCATCAGAATGGGGAGAAGGGTATCAGATGGGCAAACTGAAGGTAGACTGCCTGCAGACTGGGACAGTTTGCGTGTCTGTAACTTGAGCAAACATAGAGGAACTTCCTCAGAGACACTAAAAATTACATTGCAGTGACTGGAGCAAATGGCCCTTTGTGTGCACCGATTCACTTCTCAAAAAGAGAAGGTGGTTAACAGGAGCACTGAAGCATAGGCAAAACCAGGTCTCTTACCAGAGTCTCACCCTGGAAATAACAAGAAAAGGTGGTGCTGAAATTCTCCCTCCAAAGTGTTTGGACATAGGAAGAACTTGAAAGTTGTCTGCTGGAAAGAACTTGTGATATATGGCAGACTCAATAGAGGTTAAAAACTGTGCCTGCAAGAATACTAATCTAATGCAGGTGCTGGAGTCACAAAGTCTCTGCTTTTAGTTGTTGAAGTTTTATTCTTCTGAGCAGTTACTAGATCACTTCTTGACCAGTAACTTCTGTCTCCCTCTTAATAGGCACCATGTGTGAAGTTTAATTTTTTTTTTATAAGCGTGACTGTATGAAGTAGAAAGAGTACACAAGTCCAAATTAAATTGCTTTTTTGAAAAGTTGGCTCTCGTGCAGTTTTTATTAATAAGTGAAACGTGTTTAAAGTTACTTGAGGATCTGGGATTGAGGTTCCTGGGCAGTGGAAGCCAAGGATCTGGCAATTATTACATTAAAGCAATGGGTCTGAGATGGAAAGGAATTCAGGATCCTGTCAAAATCTGACTTGCCTTTGGTCACTGTCCCAGGGTACACGAGGACAGGCTCCCTCTCCCTGGCTCAGACCCAGGACCGGCTGATCTCCCTGAAACGCATCGCTTCGTCGCTCAAGTACGTACGAGCAGCAGGCGCCGCCCGGCTCGGCAGCCCCAGCTCTCCTGCAGGGCCGGTGACACCGTGTTTCTTGTGTTCTGTGGCAGTGTCATGGGCATACCCTGTGAAATCATCACCCCCAAGCAAGCGGTGCAGCTCCACCCGCTCATCAACATCCACGACCTCGTGGGGGCCATGTACGTGCCAGAAGATGCGCTCGTGACGTCTGCCAATGTGAGCCTGGCTCTGGCAACCGCTGCCTCACGAAATGGTAGGAGTTCTTTCTTTATCTGTAGAGTGCCCCCCTGCATGATAGTTACCTTCTTTCTGTAAAAGAAAATTGTGTTCTGCGTCTCTCTTGATACCCTGAGCGCTGAAGTCCAAAACTCAGTTATTTCTGTAAAGCTCAGATTCTTTGAATCTATTTCTTCTCAAAAAAAAAAAAAAACAACCCAGGCTGAATTTTTTTGCATGCTGAATCTTTACAGATTTGCAGTGACAGACCAAACACCTCTTTGTTTAGTGGTTATATATTTCTCTGAATAAGCACACATTCTTTCCTTCACAGGACCTGACTCAAAATTACACTTCAAAATAGTTAATTACCTGCAGATAAAAAGGTGTGGCTGAGCCTTGTGGTGTATTTCACTGGGCACGTTATGCTTTGGAAATGGGTTTGGAGACGTAGCACTAAATGCTGTTTGCCCAGCACTTGGGCAAATTTGGAGTGGTCTGAAAGTGGGAGAAAGGTTAGATATGACAACAGTGATAAAGGCCATTAAGGATGAAAGTCCATCAGATTGAATGAAGCTGCTTAGGAAGATACCTCTCTTAGTTTCTGTTAGTCCAGCTTATTTTTACATCCTGCTTGTGGATTATTTTTTTTCCCCCCCTCAAAATGGGTAATTTCCAGTAAAAGAACCAATCTTGCCATCTGAAACTACAGACTTTGGTGCATAAAGGAATGGAATGAAAAGAAATCTGTAGTCGAGACTTTGTTTCTTCTTGTTGTTGACTGTGGGGTGTATTTATCACACAGATTGTTACATGGGAAAAAATACTGTAGCTCTTCACAGTCTCAGCCTTTAAATTATGTACAAATTATGCACAGGAGGTTTTACAAATAACGGGGTTTCACCTAAGAATGACTGGGTCAAGAGTAGAAATTTTGTCTTAAGAGAGAAAATAAGCTTTTAGGTTGAGTTTAAAGGTTAAAAGTTAAGAACATTTAGGAAGGGTGCTCGTGGTTACTGACGTTCTGATGTCCTCTCCAGGTGTGCAGATTCACGAAAGGACGAGTGTCAGTCACGTCACGGTCCAGAAGGGTCGTGTGACTGGAGTGGAGACTGACAGGGGACGGATTCAGTGCCAATACTTCGTCAACTGTGCTGGCCAGGTTTAATTATTTAAATTTTTTTCTCTCTTGGTTCCGTTTCTTAAGGATATGTGCACTTCCCTCACGTTTTTTTTTTGTATGTGTGTGTGTGTGTGATGTGGTTTGGTTTGTTTGTTTGGTTTTGTTTGTTCCTTTCCCTTTTTTCCTGAGGGCTTGTGCTTTGTTTTGGTTTACTGGGGTAGATCAAAGTGGTGTTGCTCAGCTGCTGGGCCCAGCGGGGGTGTGAAGGAGGCAGTGCTTGCTGTTTGCTGGGCACCAAGGGCTTGGCACTGACCTGCTGAGCAGCACCTGCAGCTTGTTGGTACAGCTCTGCCCGTGGTCCCTCTCCTGGGAGGTGCACGTTTCTGACAGGAGGGAGTTTGTTTGGGCTGTTAGAGAGACAGTGAAATCTCTCACTGCCCTTCTCTCTCTCTCTCGCCCTCCTCCCCAGAATTTTGTTTTCTTTTTCTTCCTTGGTGTGTCATGTCTTCTGCACGGGAAAATACACCTGCCGACTGCAGTCTCTCAACTAGCAGCTGTCTCCCTTGTTAGTAAGGGATCTCAGTACAGGCACCCAAATGCTGCCTGCTCTGCTTCTGGATGCTGAAGCTGGTGCTGACTTGAATCTACAGATCTTGTTGGGCTTTTGTATTGTAAGCTGGTACTACTTAGTTGTGAGTCAGGGCTCCACTTTTCTAGTTCTTGTGTTAGGAACAGAAAACCAGTCTTTATCAAAAAAAAAATTCAAATTCCAAGAAAAGAGAGAAAAAAATTGTGTCTGTTTAAGGTCTAGGTGTTTAAACCAAATCTTAACTTGATCATTTATGAAAGCAAACTCACAGAGGCGACCTGTGCTGATGTCCTGCGTTTTTTACTGGAGGTAGATTCCTCCTTTTCCATTCTGACCTGCACTTTTTTGGTTTCAGTGGGCCTATGAGCTGGGCCACTCTGGGGAGGAGCCAGTCCACATCCCACTCCACGCCTGTGAACATTTCTACCTGCTGACACACCCCTTGGCGGAGCCGCTGTCCAGCACCTTGCCGAGTAAGGATCCTGCAGCTCTGCTCCACTTTCCCTGGTGAATTATACCTGCCTTTCCAAGGCCACCTGTAGTTCCTGACAGAAAGGCCAGCCTCGGGCTGTGGGTCCTCAGCTCATTTGGGACTGTGAATTGCTCTGAATATCCTCTTTCAGTGGTAGAAAGAATATCTTTCTTTGTTCTTGGGAAAGCTTGTGCTGCAGAAGAGGATTTTCAGAGTTCATCAGCTTACCCAGGAGAATGGCCTTGACTCTGGCTTGGCTGGTAGTTGTGTCTGAGACTTGCATTGTTGCATTTGTGGGCTGGAGAGGGTGCTAGCCTTGGCACTGTGTTTCCCTTGCAGGCTGCTGGCCACAAATGGCCCATCTATTCCTTTCCTCCAACTGAACCTAAGGCTTTACAATGGCATTTACATGTCTATGAGCTGTAGGGGCAACCAAACACTTGAGGTAATTGCTCCTCCCCCATGTTCTGGCTTTTGGATCTCTTAAAAAAAAAAGCCTTTGTGTTTGAAAACGGTGGTTGGGAAGTAGAAACCTTTGCTGGCAAGATTTTCTGCTTCTAGTGAGTAATGTATATATTCCTCAGGGAATTCGGGTCTCTGGCCAAAGTCCAAGTGCTTCACTTTTAATTGATTAATTGAAAAAAGTAAACATATATGTGTACACAGTCACAAATTTTCTGTACACGGCCAAAATCGCTGTGGAACGTGTCAGGTGGAGTATCATAAATACTTCAAGTTGACACTGCCAGTGGGAGAAGCAATCCAGACCTGACTGCTTATCCTCACCCCAGCGCTGCCCACCTTGTTTGTGCTGGTGGCCTTCAGCACGCTGGATCCGTGAGGCATCCCCGTTGAAATGAACTGGGTTTAACGCAGGAAGAGGGGAAGGGGGAAGGCAGGACATCTCCTGGTGGAAGGTCTGGGTGCAGTCTCAGTGGATCTAAGCCAGTAGAATAGCTTGTCAGTGCCACGAGGGACCTGAATCCCTCTTGTCCTCTCGCTCCTGGGACCACTGTCCTTCTGGCTCGGGGCTCCTCAGGTTCAGCTCAGTTTACTCTGCTGCCCCAAAGTTAACGTTGTGTGGCTGTGGTGGGAGCTGATGGTTTAGTAATCTAAACTGGCTCACCAAGGTGTCACGTGAGAACCACAGTGGTGTGAAAGCTGGGGCTGGGGGACTGTCACTGTCCCCTCTCAGGAGGCCACTGGCTTGGCCTGGTGTGTCACCAGCCCCCGTTGTTGGTGTTTGTGGGATGGCAGCCTGAGATGGATACCCCTTCTCTCAATTCCCTTCCCACCTCTTCTCTCTCCTCTGCAGCTGTTGTTGACCCAGATGGCAGGATCTACATACGCAACTGGCAGGGTGGCATCCTCTCAGGGGGCTTTGAGAAGAACCCCAAACCTCTCTTCACGGAGGGGCGGAACCAGCTGGAGATTCAGAACCTTCAGGAAGACTGGGATCATTTTGGTATGTTAGGGTTCCCACAGCAGTGAAACACGGGGCTTCTGCAGAAGGCAGAGTTTGCAACAGCGTAGGCTGGGAAGGATGAACGTTCTCTCAAATTCATTCATCTCTTCATGTGTCAGTAATTCACAGAAAACACCTTTACCAAGGACCGCAGTACCTGAAGGGAACCTACACAGGAGAGCTGGAGAGGGATTTTTGACAAGGGAATACAGTGCCAGGACAAGGGGGAATGGCTTCCAACTGACAGAGTTGAAGGGTTAGATTGGACAATGGGAAGAAATTCTTTACTTTGAGGGTGGTGAGGCTCTGGCACAGGTTGCCCAGAGAAACTGTGGCTTCTCCATCCCTGGAAGTGTCCAAGGCTGGGTTGGACGGGGCTTGGAGCACCCTGGGCTGGTGGAAGGTGAACCTGCCCATGGCAGGGGGTTTGGAACGAGATGAGCTTTAAGGTCCCTTCCAACCCAAACCATTGCAGGTCTCTGTGGTATCTCTGTAGTGTTTAAAAGCACCTGCTGACCCTCAGCGTTGTTCACTTCCTGTGGGGCAGGAGGTGCCACATAAACTCCCCGTGCTGCTCCTCCGTCAGGGCTGAGTTTTGAGTGTCAGTGCCACATGCTGCTCCTCCTGTGACGCAGGAGATCAGCACTGCTGACCTGCCTCGTGCCTGTGGTGTTTTGTTTCTGCAACTCTCTTCAGCAGGGACTGCCAAGTGCAATTCTACCAGTGACAGTTGCTGTGTGGACAGCACTTGGTGTTATGGCTTCCCACACTTCATCCCACCGTTGACACTGGTGGTTTGTTGTATTTAACTGTTCTGTCCTCCTCTTCCTGTTTTATTTGATTCTGTTTTTATATTCTGTATGTACCTTTACATGGAGGGCTCTTTCTGTAGGTTTTTAGATCTCTAGATGCCTACAGACTTGCTTGAAGGTATTAGCTCCAGTGACGGGTTGCTCGAGCTCTGCACCCACCTCCTTTTTGGTTCTCTAGGTACTGCTGAAATGAAAAGGTCCTGCTTGTTGGCACCCCCAAACTGCCCAAGTTTCAGAAGCAGCTGCACTCTGTGCTCCAGCATTACCCTTTTATCCGTTCAAAAGTGCTGAACAGTTGAGCAGAGTCAGAGCTTACTCAGCCAATATTTGATCCTTTTCTAGGGCTGCAATTCCTGGGATTTGAGCTCTTGTATTACTGCTTTGATCTTTGTCGTTGGAACACCTTTTGATTTTAAAATAGCCTGTACAGTTGCTTAAATTGGGCTGGGTACGAGAACAAGTCTAACACTGATCTCTCTTTTATCAATAAAAGAAGCGCCTGGCTCTCACTCTGGAATTCTAATGCTTGAGAGAAGGAAGAGAAAGAGCAGGTCAGAGAGACTGGTTCTGATTACAAGTTGTTAGGCAATGTGAAATCTGATTATTTTACTGCTTGTGCATAAAGCTGAGGAGTGTTCTTGGTGCTGAATCTTGAGGGCTTTTACCTGGAGTAGCAAGCAGAGGGAACTTTTAGGCAAGACAAGGCAAGTGGGTACCTTATCCCTTTACTAAGGCTCTCAAATGCCACACTGTGAAGAGCTGCCAAAGGACTTCTCCAGTGTGACTGGGCAATGAAGGACAGGGAAATTCAGTGAGGAGAAATGTGAGGTGACACAAGGGTGTGGGGATGGTCTGACTTCCACCAAGCAATGTGACAGGCTTTGAACAGACCCGGGGGTTGGATTGGTTGTGTTAGTTCTCTGAAGACATCAGTGCTGTAGCAGTCAAAGCAAAAGGCAAATTAGGAATTACTAGCAGAGGAGCAGAAAACACAGGGATTATGCAACGCTGAATCCTTGGTTTGCCAGATCTAGTGATTGTTCTAGGCTCCTTGTCTCCAGAGGGTGTCATAGGAGACTGGAGAATGCCTGGTGGAAGAACAACCATAGGCTGGTCAAAGCCTGGAACAGTTTCCAAGCAAGGAGTGACTGGGCTGGGGAAAAGGAGATGACAGAAGGGAAATAAACAGAGATCTCTGGAATCTGCACTAAGATAGACAGGCTAGGTGGGGATCTCCTGTTCACTGTCTCTTCTAGTGCTGGGAGGCATCAAAAAAAGTTTGTTGTATGTGAATTTTAAAACAAAAGGTGGTAATTCCTCACAGAAGATACTAAAGATGTGGAACTCCTTGTCCATGTCTGCAGGATGTTTTCGTGAGCCTGGGAGAGACCAGTTTAGTACTTAGAAGAGAGATCAATTTAGAGGTTACTAAACAGGGGAAAACATACCAGGTTTTTAGGAAATCCTCTGGGCTGATGGTAGGTGGAGGCTGGCAGAGTGTGTGGGACAATTGTCATACAGATTTGCCTGTCCTCACTCCTCACTCGGTATCTGTTTGATGCCTCTGTTGTTTTTCCCGACAAAACTGAACAGTGCCCTTGCACTGTGGGAAACAATATTGGGTTCTTGGGCTGGATCCTGCTTTTCTGGCATGCTGTGATCCATTTGGATCCAGCAGGTAAAGGGTTTCTCCTGTGGCTGTATCAAAACATGGAAGCAGTTTCCACCTGCCCTCTGACATACCTGCCGAGTTTGAAGGTGAAGCCACTGGAACACGTTTGAGACTGAAGGCTGTGACTCTCTGTCTCTTGCCTTGGGTCCTAGGGCCACTGCTGAGCGCCCTCCTGCGCAGGATGCCGGGTCTGGAGGCCCTGCAGATCCTGCAGTTGGTGAACTGCCCCGAGTCCTTCACGCCGGACATGAGGTGCATCATGGGGGAGTCGCCCACCGCGCGGGGCTACTTCGTGCTGGCCGGCATGAACTCAGCTGGGATTTCCTATGGTGGGGGAGCAGGCAAGTAAGTGGTGCATCCCTGGTGTGTGTGTAAGTCAGGCTTTAACCACCAACAGACGCTGCTCACACGATCCTGCTGCGTGGAACGTCCGGGTCCGTGTTGGTCACGTCGCATTGCCCTGTTCTGATTGTGTTCCAGATCTGTGTCGGACTCTCCCTGCTGTCCTGCACACCTCTCCTCTGGCATCCCAGCTCGGTAATCAGCTGGGGATCGAGTAAGCTGCCTGGGAGCTGTGTCAGAGGATGTTTAGGTTAAATATTAGGAAAAGGTTCTTTACCCAGACAGTGGTTGGGCACTGAACAGGCTCCCCAGGCCTTGTCACAACACCAAGCCTGACAGAGTTCAGGAAGTGTTTGGATAATGGTCTCATGCACATGGTGTGATTCCTGGGACTGTCCTGTGCAGGGATAGGAGTTGGATTCGATGATCCTTGTGGGTCTCTTCCAACCTCTAACTGATCTGATTTTTTTAAGCTACCAGGAAGAGATAAAAGCTTAGCAAAGCATATATTCCCTCATCTTCTGTGCTTCATGATCCCCTTTAATTTACCATTTGATTGAAGTCTTTAGATCATTCGAGTGGACACAGCAGTTAATTCATCTGAAAACAGGGTGAATCTGATGCTGATGAAGCACCATATATGTGATGCTAGTGCTGCCAGTAGTTAAAGACTGTCCCCTACAGTAAGCTAAGGGTGGAATAATTTCTCAGCAAAGTCAAGTTCCTGTGTTAATGCAGGTAGCTGGTCAGGCATGTGAGTGTGATTCCAGCAACAAAGTTGCTTGGAGAATGATCATTGCCCCCTCTGGTTGCCATTGGGTTTTGGTAACACGGCATCCCTTCTGCCACACAGCCTCCTTAACAAGCTGTTCATTTTTCATGGTCTCTCTCATTTTTGCATTTGTCTCTGTTACCTTCTGTCCTTTGTCTAATAAGTTAACTCACTGGGGAAACAACTCATGATATTTTTTGGTTTCATATAAAATGCAGAGAATCTTTGCAGTGAGGTTCTCTTAAGAATCAAAATAATTTTTGAGGTTAAAAGCACTATTTGTTACTACAGCCCCAAAATAAGCAGCTTAGCTTGCTAATACAACTTTTCCTGATCAGTTCCAAAGCCCTTTGTTTTTTTGTGTACTGGCTGTGAACAGAGCCTTGTGCTCTGCTGTATTCTGAGCTGCCTGTGTCCTTTAGCTCTGGAGCATGCTGGAAGTGGAGTTAAACATAACTTGGCTGGCACCTCGTGCTGAAATGAGTGCTGTCACTGGTGGTTCGTGGCTGAGCCTACACCAGGCACTGAAAAACGACAAAGCAGAAGCCTCCCAGCTCCAACCAAAACTCACACCTCCTTTTGTAGCAGAACCCGAGGACCTGGCACGCTGCCAGCCAGCTTACCTGTCCAGGCTCTGTCTTCCTTTATCAGTGTCCTTAATTTCCTGCTGCCCTGTGTGTTTCATCCTAATGGGCAGTTAGTAATTTGGAAATCTGGTGGGTGAGTTTTATGAAGGGAAACCTTCCATGTTCTGCTGCTGTTCAGAATACCACGTTACCTTTCTCCTCTCTCCCTATCGCAAGAAAACGTCCCAATTGCTTTGCTTCTGACTTCAAAACTGAACTCTCTTAAGACACTGGCTGATATCCCAGGCTTCACTTCTTCCATCAGGTACCTGGCAGAGTGGATGGTGAATGGGTACCCGTCAGACAACGTGTGGCCTCTGGATCTGAAGCGCTTCGGGACCCTGCAGAGCAGCCGCACCTTCCTCCGCCACCGGGTTATGGAAGTCATGCGTAAGTGAGGCCTCTGCCTTCAGTTCTGCCCAGGCTGTCCAAGATTTTCCCCTTTCCTGCACTGTTCCTCCCCTGAGAACCCGTTTTCCTTTTTTCCTGACCTCCTTTGTGGCAATACAGCCCCTTCCCAGGGGAAAGGAAAGGATTTTTGTGGGTTGTTGGGGGTTTTTTTTGTATTCTTATTACAAAAATTGTGTTCTTACTAACTTTTCTTTGTAAAGTACTCTTGGTACCTTGCTCTGTTCTATTTCTGTGCTTTCCCTCTGTTGTGGGGAATTTTGTGCACGTCTGCACAGGACTCCAGCCTAGCAAAGCAATGCCAGGGTCTTAACTGGGAATATCACACTGTCTCAGACGTTTTTATTCTCTGCACATCATTGCAGTGTGGAAACACCGTCACTTCCAGCTTGTGCCTGCTGTGACCTGCTTATCTTGCATCATTCAGGAAGCCCTCGTAGACATATTCTGCTTTCTCCTGTCAAAGTTTGCAATAAATACCTTGCAGAATAGATTGCAGATGCCATTTTTCCTGTCTAAAGCCGTGCTTCATCATTTCCTCCTGTTGTTTGCTTATCTGTCCTGAATAATGTGGATGACTTCTTTTGAAGTTCCAAATGGAAGTACAAAGTGCTCCACAAGTTGCATAACAGGAACAATTATTTGAATACCAAGTCTAAACTAAAAACATCTGTTCAGGTGAAAGCAGAGCAGTTGGGTAAACCTCTTAGCCCTGCTGTATCCAGGGAATAAAAACCTTGTGCTTTGACCTTCCTCCCAGAAAAAATCACTTCATACTCTGGGCATTATTCTAGTTTTGCTCTCCACTACAAACCTCAGTGCTGATAGCTGCAGAATCACTCTAGTTTTTACAGGATTCTAGATTTTATTGTATTCAATTTCTGCAGTGTTATGTTTCTATTCTAATCCATTCTTCCCTCTACCCCACTCCTTCAGGAATACCAATACCAGATATTGCCAATAAATTCATGAAATTATTACCTATGAGGCAGAAATGATGGAAGTGTTCAGCAAGAAATATTTGGCTTATCTTCAGTTTTAAGCAGTTTATGACCTCTGTAGAGTCTTAACATGTATAAAGTAGTATTCAAGCATCCTTGAGTTATTGCTCCCCACTGGTAACCAGGGAGGATGCTCAATGATTATTAGAGCAGCTTGTTTTCTAAATAAGAATATTTTATGCTGGATAAATAGATATAGGAGCCATTTAGAAAAGCTTCTATAATTAGAAAAGGCTGAATTGCCACTATTTAAGGCAAATTAGATGGTCCCTGTAGCTGTGGGCTGCCTACCCCAGCATTAGCACTGTCAAAATACGTGTCTGATGCAGTGCACTGCCAGGGAAGAATCCTGCATAATTAATGCTAGTCAGCATGACTGCATGGAAAATAAGAGTTTTTGTTACCTTGCAGTGTTGTCATGGGACCGTAAGTGTCTCTAAATATGAGTGCTCTGTGCAAATATTGTTGCTCTGCTTTTGAAGAGCTGTAAACGGATCAAAACAGGTTTGTTGGTTTTTCAGAAGCAGAAAAGGAAGTTCGGAACCGTCTTGAGGGAGTTGTGTTGATGGTTCAGATACCAGTGAGTGCTGATAGCGTAGGCTGGTTTTTTGCCTGCGAGAGAAGTTCAGGTCAAGATAACCACTGTGCCTAACAAGGGATCTTTGTGACCCTCCCCAGCCCTCATGTGTGACCTGAAGGTTCCCCGCTGGGACTTCCAGACCGGCCGGCAGCTGCGCACGTCGCCGCTCTACGACCGCCTGGACGCTCAGGGAGCCCGGTGGATGGAGAAGCACGGCTTTGAGAGGGTCAAGTATTTCGTGCCGCCTGGAAAAGGTGAGCTTTGGATCTTGGAAAAGGTGAGCGCTCTGCCCGGTGCTTCCCTGCTGGTCTTGGTTCATCCGGTACATGAATTTCTCCTGGGATTCTTCTTTGTGTCAGATCTGCTGGATTTGGATCACAGCAAGACCTTTTACAAACCGGACTGGTTTGACATCGTGGGTGCCGAAGTGAAGTGCTGTAAGGAAGCGGTTTGTGTGATTGACATGTCGTCCTTTACCAAGTTTGAAATAAGTGTAAGTACCTAGGGAGGCACCACCTTCTAAGGGTGGCCTTTAGTTTATTAGTGCCTGCTTTTTGTAAAATTCCCTGTGTCCTATTGAGGACAGGCAGAGGAAGTCACACTGTATGGCCAGATGCAGGTTGTACCACAGTATTTAGCATAGGTTGGTTTTTGTCTGTCGAGGGCCCAGTTTACAGAAATCCCAGCTTGGTCTCTACACAGAATTTGACCTCGGGCACCGTGCCTTCGTTGTGTCCTGTTAGCTCGAGACGGCCGTGTCGCTATCAGTACAAACTGAGATAATTTGAGCCAGAACACTGATGCAATCTCAAGCTGCCCCGGTGGATTTGTGTCGCTCAGACAGCTTGTCTGACTTTCTCTCCCCTTTTGATTCATGTAGTCCACAGGAAACCAGGCCCTGGAGAGTCTGCAGTATCTCTTCTCGAACGACCTGGATGTGCCAGTTGGGCACGTTGTGCACACGGGCATGCTGAATGAGAAAGGAGGGTATGAGAATGACTGCAGCATAGCCCGGCTCAGCAAACGCAGGTGGGTGTGCAGACAGCATCTTCAGCATCACCCTTTGGGTGTTTGAAGGACTCCTTAATGAAGATCATAACCTTTTGTCACCACCGTAGGCTAAAAAGTCTCAATTCTCCTCTTACACCCCTAATTCAGGAACCCACATGAAAGGGAGCTTCTGAATTTACAGACATTGGGGAAAATAAACCTTTTTCTGGGATAACAGATGAACATAGACTTCCTCCAAGTGTTAGATTGTCAGAGGTTTGATTTCTCAATTGAAATACGACCTGCTTTCAGCAGCCATTGGGGTTTATTAATTTAGGTAGGCATTTAAACTGCAGGCCAAGCGGTTCCTCATTGGCTCCTGACCAGCCTCCTTATTGGAACTGCATACTGAAGTACTACTTTTGGATTAATTCAATTTGTGTTGCAGTATGGGTACTCTAATACTCAGCTCTGCAATCTCTCATTGTTGTTCTTGAGTTCTCTGATGAAAACTGACGTGATTGCAGCATGTCATCCTTAGACTCACCAGTTTGGGCTCTCTTTGGCATTCATTAAAAAAAAAATTCTCATTTTTAAGGACTTCTTCATGTTCCATGTCCCAGCTGAGTGTTGGTTTCATTTCTCTGGATGGTTTTCTATGTGTGTTTTCATTGTATTGATGTAAAAGCATTCTCTGCTGCTCTTTCAATTCGAAACAGATTTTCTCTCTCTTCCACTTCTGTCTGCATTCATGGATTGCTTACAACCATTGTCCTTCTCTGCATGAAACCAGCAGCTTCCCTCCCTGCCTAGTCATTTCTACAGATGTTTTCTCTGTCAGTGATGTACTTTAACTCACATTTTGTATCACACACACACAAGTAGCTCATTTTCCTGTATCAAGAGGAGTTCTGTTTTTGGAAACTGTTAATAATAACCTCCATTGTGTGTGAAAAGACTTCTGCTGAAACAAGAAATTGCTGTGTGATCCATGCACTCCTGACTGTCAGAGTAGACAGAACCACTGGTGGTGAAGAGCTGCAAGTTCCTTCTGCAGAGTGGTTGTGACTTTTGGGATGCTCTGTCAACTTTCTGTAGCACTCCCTGTGTTCCACATCTGGTCACTTCTTGTCACCAGAGCACTGCTAATGCTTGAGCTCTGGGATTTCTTGTCACGGCAGATTTGGTGGGCGTTGATGCAGAGACTCTAGCTGTGCTTTTCACAAACCAGCTTGTTTTAGTCTCCTCTTGGTATGGAAGCTACTGAATAGCTCCAGTAGTC